CTGATGGACCGTAGTCTCTTGCCCGAGGGGAGAGGTTGGAACAGTCCATGTGGGGTGAGACGGGTCGGCTGTGTTTACGACCAGCCTGGCCTCGAGCTTGGGCGACGTACAGGTCCTGCAGCAATGGGAGGCTGCGGCCGATCACCATCTCTGCAGAGTGGTGATGGGGGAGTCCATCAGGAAGGGCAGAGGAGGGAGGACTGTGCTCTTCCTGAAGTTCACAATCATCTACACTGTCTTCTGGGCGTTCAGCTCCAGGTTGTTACCACTGCACCAGGACACCAGCCGGTCCACCTTTCTCCTGTAGGCGGACTCATCGTTGTTGGAGATGAGTCCAATGAGGGTGGTGTCGTCCGCGATCTTGATCAGCTTCACGGAATCCTGGCTGGAGGTGCAGTGGTTGGTGTACAGGGAGAAGAGCAGCTGAGAAAGAACACAGCCCTGTGGCGCTCCTGTATTTATAATCCGAGAGTCCGAGACATTCTTCCCCAGACTCACTCGCTGCTTCCTGTCTGTCAGGAAGTCAGTAATCCACCTGCAGGTGCAATCGGGCACGTTGAGCTGGGAGAGCTTGTCCCGGAGCAGGGATGGCAGGATGGTGTTGAAGGCAGAGCTGAAGCCCACAAACAGGATCCTGGCATAGGAACCTGGGGAGTCCAGGTGCTGTAGGATGTGTTGGAGGGCCAGGTTAATGGCGTCGTCTACAGATCTGTTAGCTCTGTAGGCGAACTGCAGGGGGTCCAGGAGGGGGGAAGGGGGAGGTGAAGGACTTGAGGTGGGGGAGGACCAGGCGCTCAAATGACTTCATGACTACAGATGTCAGAGCCGCAAGTCTGTAGTCATTAAGTCCAGTGATCCCGGGCTTCTTAGGGATGGGGACAATGACTGAGAATTTGAAGCAGGTGGGGACATGGCAAGACTCCAGCGACGCATTGAAGATGTCTGTGAAGACTGGGGACAGCTCGTTCGCAAAGTGTCTCAGGGTGGTGGGTGAGATTCCATCCAGGCCGGCAGAACTTTGCAGATGCAGCCTATAGAACTGTCGTCTGGTCTCGTCTGGAGCTATTGACAGTGAGGGGGCAGAGACGCTGAGGGGTGAGGTGTCAAATGAGCAGTGGGGGGAGGTGTCAGGGACAACCTCAAAGCGGCTGAAGAACAAGTTTAGCTGCTCAGCCAATTGCGGTCATCAGTACAGTGGGGGGCTCTTGGTTTGTAGTTGGTGATCAGGCGGAGCCCCCTCCAGACAGAGGCAGAGTCGTTGTCCGCAAACTGCTGTTGTAGACGCTCTGTGTGCCATGCTTTGGCCGCTTTGATTTTGTCTCTGTATTGGTATTTGGCCACCTTATACCCTCTGCTATCTCCCTCTCTGAAGGTGGACTCTTTCAGTTTCCTGAGCTGCCTGAGTTTAACAGTGAACCAGGGTTCATCGTTGTTGTAGATGACCCTCGTCCTGGTTGGGATTATGCTGTCCTCACAGAAGTGAATGTATGACGTCACAGTGTCTGAACTTTTTACAGTGCCTTGCGAAAGTATTCGGCACCCTTGAACCTTTCAACATTTCACCACATTTCAGGCTTCAAACATAAAGATATAAAAATTACATTTTTCGTCAAGAATCAACAACAAGTGGGACACAATCGTGAAGTGGAACGAAATTTATTGAATAATTTAAACTTTTTTAAACAAATAAAAAACTGAAAAGTGCCTACCAAGACCCGGCGTCCCTCCAAACTTTCATCTCAAACAAGGAGAAGACTGATCAGAGATGCAGCCAAGAGGCCCATGATCGCTCTGGATGAACTGCAGATAACTACAGCTGAGGTGGCAGAGTCTGTCCATAGGACAACAATCAGTCGTGCACTGCACAAATCTGGCCTTTATGGAAGAGTGGCCATTTCTCAAAGATATCCATAAAAAGTCTCGTTTAAAGTTTGCCACAAGCCACCTGGGAGACACACCAAACATGTGGAAGAAGGTGCTCTGGTCAGATGAAACCAAAATCAAACTTTTTGGCCACAATGCAAACCGATATATTTGGCATAAAAGCAACACAGCTCATCACCCTGAACACACCATCCCCACCTCAGCTGTAGTTATCTGCAGTTCATCCAGAGTGATCATGGGCCTCTTGGCTGCATCTCTGATCAGTGCAGACACGCCCCCTCTACGACAGTCACACAGTCACACAGCGCAGGTACTGACACAAGCAGCGGAGGAATGGAAGACAAAGGCCCAGTACTAATATCCCAGTCACAACTGATAGTGCCAAAAATTAAATAAATGCAGTGAATGAGGCTGGGCCCAGAATGGAGCGCCTCCTCGGGAGAATCAGGAAGGTGGTGTAATATATGAGAGTAAATATCCTCATAAAGTGCCTTCTCATGTTGCACTTTGTGTTGTTTTTCATTAATTATGTTAAATAGACATAATTGGATGGATGGAATATTCCATCCATCCATCCATCCATTTCCTTCCCCTTAATTCATTTCTAGGTCAGGGGGGGCAGTCAGAGCAGGTGCCAAGTCCACATGAGCCGTGTTTATTAAAAAGACAACACTTTTTTTTGGAAAAATGAACCGAAAAAGGAACCGAACCGTGGCCTCTGAACCGAGGTACGAACCGAACCGTGATTTTTTCAAACCGTTGCACCCCTAGTTTTTTGGGTCAAAATGTTTGTCAGATGAGGCAAAAATCTACAAATAAATTCACAAATACAGCGTATGAATGTGAACACAACGATATGCCACACACAACTGTGAGTGCAACAGCGCCACCTACAGGCCGTTCAAGGTGTTGTGTTTTTGAATTTCAACTTGTCCCTGGTTTTTCATCGCAGAGACTTCCACCACTTAGATTTTCTATCTGAACAGATTGAAGTTATACAGCCATTGAGAAAGAGTTAGAATTTCCTCATTGTTTTCATGCAAGGTGGTGGGGAATTTCTCCATGTTTGATGCTCTCCTGACCACAGGCTCAGACCCACAGAGCTGAAATTCACATCACTAACAGTTGGTGATGGCCTGTGCGTAATGGTGTGAAAATAGACACCTAATATGACTCTAGAGCGCCACCTAAGGAAGGCCACTCAGCCACCGTGCCGTGGGCGGCACGGTGGCTGAGTGGATAGCACTCTTGCCTCTCAGCAAGAAGGTCCTGGGTTCGAATCCCGGTCGGACCAGGGCCTTTCTGAGTGGAGTTTGCATGTTCTCCCCGTGTCTGCGTAGGTTTCCTCCGGGTACTCCGGTTTCCCCTACCACTAAAAATATGTACAATAGGTCTGGCATGCGCCTTGTGTACTGGCGCTCCCATCTCTGTGTGGAGTGAGAGACAAATGCCCAAAAATTAACAATTGTAAACCGCTTTGAGACTCAAATTTGCAGTGAAAAGGCGGTATATAAATAAAGATTACTTACTTACTTACTACTACTACTTAACTTTTCCAATCCTCATCAAAGTTGCACAATCAATTCTTTACATCCGTGCAAGCAAAAAATTATTTTACGTAGAGGGTGCATGTCCTGAAGGTGACCACTAGGGGCACACCGAATCCTATTAATGAGCTTTTCCGTGCCTCATCCTGGTCTGATTGGGTTGCGAATTCGTCGGCGAGTACGCCGCTTGATGCTTGTGGGACTGGCTCCTGGGAGGCAGCAGTAAATGTGGCGAGGCCTTTCATTGACGCTTGCGGCTTTAATTATAATTTAAAATGTATATACTTTCGGAGCCCCACATGCTCTTATTTTTTTAATTCGGCCCCCAGACCAAAATGAGCTCGACACCTATAATACAAGCTTCTTTAACACACTCCTGCATTTAACAGTAAAGACGAGAAAACTTAAAGGACAAGGACGTGTCAGTAAAGGCACAACACTTTAATCATTGGCTGAAATCTGAAGGAATAATACTCTGTGCTGATATAAAGTACATACAAACACAGATATGAGGGCTGGGAATCAAAGTGTACTGCTCATGGAATGACCCAACTTTCTGGGAATGGACTTGGATCCAAGCATGCTCATAACTTTTACAGTCAGCTTCTCAAAGTACATTGTACTGGGAGCTTTTATGTAATGAGATCATTTACCACTGGAATAAAACTTGAAATATACATTTTTCACATGCAGTATTTTTAATTGTCCTGCAACAATCCTTTTGTCACTATTTTAGCAGTCAAAAGTTGCCATTTTAAACACTATTGCTTGTTAAATCTTGTAAAGGTCTGCTTGCTTGTTCATTCCTATGCTTGCAGGGCTCTTTCCTCTCTTTGATTCTCAACCCTGAAAATGCACACATCGTTTTAAAGCTTACGGTCTTTGTAAATACAATAAATAAAAGCTAAATATTGTTACAAAACGTGTACAAAAACAGTGTTTAAAAAATACCCAATTTTCCATGCTACAAACGTGGCTACTTTAGTGGAACTGAGGGTGGATATAACAGAGGTCTCACAGCCATAGAGAGTTAGACGAAACAGTGACACATTTTTAATAGACAACGGTAATAACTACATTCTATTGGTCTAAACAAGATTATTTAACAGTTTACGGTCAGTCCAAAAAAAAATATTCCGTTTAATGTATTGAAGGATATCTTTATCTGAAGGAAATAGTTGTTTGTTCCTTGCTCTGAACAGTCTTGGTTTCCCCAAATCTTCTCACTGTAGCATTAACAAAATTACATTTATGAGTGAAGTCTATCAATCATACTACACAAATATTGGATAAGGACTTATTGTTCTTACAAACTCTACCATGTCAGGACACAGAGTCCATTTTCATGGGCAGAGACAAACAAAGATTCAGTCCTGGGATTCCATCTCTCCGCTGATGCATCATGTACATTTTATGACAGTGGAAAGGAACGGTCCATTCTGTTCATTTAACAAAGAATAGTCAAAATGTGTTCTGGCTGCAATCACATGTGCTGGGAAAAGTCAGGGAAATTAATTGTGAATGCCAATTGGAACTAGTCGAAATGTGATTGTGGTGATTCTTGCCCTCTTAGAATGGAGCTTTGGCATCAGCGGGAGGCAGCGGTTCTTTGGAGTGGTCGTTGTACATAAACGTCTGCTCAATGTGGAAATCCTGGGGAAGGTGATCTTTGTGCAGCTCCATGTGTGAGGAAACCAATTTCAAAGTGGAGAAAAATAATCCACAGACTGTGCAGCGATACATAAGCGCTCCGGCATGCGTCTTTAAGTGGCAAATCATGGTGGAGCGCCCGCGGAAAAATCGCAAACACACTTTACACTGGTAGGGTTTTTCCCCCGTGTGGATGCGCAGGTGATACGTGAACTCCCCGGAATGGGCAAAAGACTTGCCGCAGTAACGACAGCGGTACCATTTGGGCTTAGAAGCACTGAATTCCACCCCGTCTGGCAAAATATTGGGGCCAAGAGAAGAAGTGCCAGATGTTAGGCTCTGTGGAAGTCCGGGTAAGGCTCTGTTGTTGAAACTGGAAGGGCCCAGTTTGAAGAGCTCCCCAATGTCGCGCAGGGAGGAGATGGATGAGTCGGGTTTGCGTTTGCCCAATAAGCCTGCAGAACCAGCGCTTGACTGGTGGAGGTCGGCTGAAGTGTGGCTGCTGAGGTGGGAGTGGAAGGAGGAAGGCGAACGAAACGTTTGAGGGCAGAGTGGACAACGCAGCTCCTCCGACCCATCAGACAAACTCCCGTCCGATCTGTAGAAGAGACACACGTTAGTAAGCATGTCTAAAATAAACAGCTTAGCTACGCTAAAAGTGCCTATGTGATATGTACTTAGTGGTCTAAGAAAGTCATTTAGCTAGAAGCAGTAGAAACTGTGTTTCACTACTTAAAAAAAAAAACTGCTTTAATAAAAAAATTAAAAATGCAGTGCTAACTTTTGTTTGTGAATAATAACAGAACATTTGAAACATCCAAATGATGGACCATATATTCTCAATTGTATTTTAATAAAGAATAACTTGATTTGATGTTCATAAATGGTCAAATATGATCTGGAGACACATTAAAAAGCCCCTTTAAGTTAAGACGCATTTATATTTTGAAAATCAAGTTCACCAGCTTGAATAGATATAATAGATATATAGCTCTCCCATGGCCCTTCTCCTGGGCTGTACCTGAAGGTGAAGGCCCGGAGCAGTGTCCTCTCCCTCTCCTTGACCGCTGCCTCCTCTGCGTGTGCGGTCATGTGCGTGTCCAGCAGGGGGCGCTCCACAAAGCACATGGCGCAGTGTGGACAGGTGAAGACAGGCAGGGACAGGTGAGAGAGGGCGTGCCACAGTAACGAACATAGAGTTGAGACCGTCACGGGACAGAGGGAGCAGGACAGAGATTGAGAAGAAACGTGGGACAGGGTGTGCTCGCGGACACTCTGTGGACACAGGACAGAAGTTCACTTTACTCTGATGCCATGCATTTGTGACATGCCACAGGTCTTTTCCCTTGTTTTTATTAGAGATCGACAATAAATGTAGCTGTATTACCAGAAGTAAAATTCTCCGTTCTAAATCCCCATATGCATAGAGAAAAAATATTATTTAAATTTTTTTAAATCTTGTTCAGGGCTGATTAGCTAGCAGCAAACATTGCATGTTGTGGTGTAATTTATATTGCTTCTTTATTATGCTAAAGTTAGACATTTTATTTAGTATTTGTTCACGTATGTTGTGCTGTGTGCTCTTCATTTCTATTATGTAACTAGTGATTAACACTACCATTTCCCCACTGTGGGACAAAAAAAGTATCTTTTAATCATAATTAACAGATTTTGAATGGGGAATTGTAGTTTCTCCATTTATTTGATACTCACATTTGTTGTTGGTAAATCGAAAATGTATGCGTTTGATTGTTGCGATTTTGGATGGTACCGAATTAAATTGATTTTGTATATATTGGATGGACATTATATCAGGACGATATTCAAGGTTTTGAAATATTGGCTTCCCTTCCAGTCGATATGCTACCATGGCATGTTATCCTAATATTCCCGGGTAAACTCAAACAGCACTTTACTAACCAGGCCATGTATTGTAGCCTGCCAGGATCGCACTTCCATGTGCAGGTAATGCCATTATAAATATATTTTTTAAACCCTATTGGAGGTGTTTGACATGTGACAGATGTGTAATATTAGTAAAGACGTAGAAAAAAAATAACCAACTTTTTCTTAATCTGGGTGACATTGTGGCACAGGGGTTAGCGCTTGTGCTTCACAGCCAAAAGGCCTTTGGTGCGATTCCACATCAAAAGTAGGAAACCTATGCAGCCACTGAAAACGTGTACAATAGGTATTAATGTAATGAGTGAGGGAATGGATGGGAGGCTTTGATGTGCCAGTGTCTTTCAGTGTATTGCTTCTGTCATCATTCTGGTTTGGACAAAAATATCTAGTTTCTTTCCAAATGTGCACAAATCTAAATATTTGTGGTTATAATTGGAAATTGCAAAGACTGAAAAGACTCAAAAGAGACAAAAGATGAGCAAAAACAACACTTGAATTTATGAAAATGTCTACTGATCTGAGTTTATTTTTAAGTCATGCCTTTCTTACTAATTTTCTCCATTGTGTTTGAGATATGAAGCAATTACCTCATAAACAACTTCTTCAAATGTAGGTTTGAAGTTAGTCCCAGTACCTTGAAGTCCCTGCTGACGTTAGCGCTGCAGTGTGCGCAGTGTAGTTGTGGGCTTTGGGGGGCGCTGGAGGAGATTGCATCCGCAGGGAGTGCGTAGGAGGCAGACGATGCGTTCAGGTGACGCAGGACACGGGCTCTGCTGCTGAAGTGAACCTGGCACATGGGACAGGAGTACATATGCGCGCCCACGTGGGATAGCACATGATTCAGTCCGCTCTGCAACTCCACAAAGGCAGCCCCGCACACCACGCACTGGCCCCCCTCCGTGATGTGGGACTGGGCGTGTGAACGCACCACCACTGGGTCCAGGGGCAGGTTTAGGCCGCAGATCTGACAGCACACATGGTCAGTGTCCTGTCAAGAACAAGGGAAATATGTGGTCATTAAACAGCGTAGACATTTCTACAAGAGGATATGAGATTAAGATTAAGAGATACTTTATATATATATATACTAAATTTCAGTTTTGCATCACAAGTTACAGAACCGCAATAAGGAGCACACATCAAACAATAAGTGAATGTTAAGTAGAGCACAACTCTAGACAATAATAATAATAAGTAATAATCAGCAACAGCCCTTCAGGTCACAGCAGCAGAGATAGAGTAGCCTCTTGCATTTTGGTGCAGACATCAACAACAGAGGAGTCAAAGCTTTCACAGAACCTTTCTGCAGTTGATTCTGCAATATTCCTCCTCTCTAATTCAGCAGGTAGCGGACGAGGATCTGAAGATCCAAGCAAATCAAGAAACACACCGCAATGGTCACTTAGGTGTACATCCTCAACACTCACATTGGCCACCTGCAGGCCCAGTGTAAAAACCAGATCTAATGTGTGGCCTTTCACATGGGTGGGGCCTGAGACATAATGTGTGCTTCTGTCCTGGATACAAAATCAGCAGGTAGTCTTAAAATGGACAATAAAAAGTCAGTAAACTCAGCTAAGAAAGCACCAGCAGGGCCAGGGGGACAATAAATCAAAACACAATAAAATGTGTGAGATAATAAAGGATTGATTGATTGATTGATTGATTGTGGAACCGATTTGCATCATGTGTGATTCAAAAGTTGTGCTTTTGATTCAAAAGTGCTCTATACTCATCACTCTGCATGTAAACGCTGTTATGATTTAAAACTGTAATGCAGACAAAACAACAATGAAAGGATGTTAAAACATTGTCCAGAAATTATCCCCCAAGTTTCCAGGATTTTTCACACAAAATACTTGATACACATACAAATTAATGTAAAACAGTTTTTATGGTGTCTTTATGAAATTTCCCCACCGTGGGACAAATGAAGGATCTCTTAATCTTACGGTGTATTCCTTTTTACCATTCTTAGTAGTTCCTTAGTAGTTCAGTTGGTACAGACTAGGGTTTAATCCCGGGACACGGGATTCCCGGGAAATCTGATCAAAACTATTTCCCGATTCCCGGGAAATGTTATGACGGGAAACGGGAAATGAAAGTTTAAAAAAAAATCCAGTGCGCTCCTATTATAGAGCACGTTTATTGTTGTTCAAAGTTCAAACATATTTCATTTACAATCAACATGTCTACAGGTGAGAGGATGGCTCCTAAATTGTGTTTTTGAAACAAATATGGGTCTTAGTCTCGCTAAACCACGACTTGTAATGAGGCCAGCCTCAGGGTACGGGGCACATGTGAGCCCAGAATTTGGCTACGTCCAATTCTATCAGAAAGCTCCTTTCTTTTTTTCCATCTGCTAAGGGCAGCAACAAGTTTGGCTAACATACATATTTTAAGATCATATAAAATGCATTTAGGGTAATGTTCTGCTTCCAATGACGATAGGAATGATAAGGAAGAGAGGAGAAGGGTAAGAAGGTTAATATTAGAAATTGGATGCGCCCGAGAGCCGGCTGCAGCCAGCAAAAACACAAAGAAGTTTATGGAGGTGGCACCCATTTTGTTTTACGCTTTAAAACTCTTTGGGCTTATTTCCAAATGGGGGATTACATATCTGCGCTCAAACTATTATCTGGACTTAAACATGAAACTGGTCTGAACTGAAGTGGTCTGTGCTGTTCATTAATAACTAAGGTAAGACCCATAACACAATTGGAAATGTGCCTTTTACGAACTTTTGCGTTTTGTTTGAGCAAACAATGCGGGCCATGGAAAACATTCTGCTGTAGCCAAACTAATTGTGAATAAGCCGCTTTGTAGGTTCTGTTGATTTATATGATATATGTTCATCTGACAGGGCTGAAGTCAGTGCCTCCAAACCACACCGCACGTCACTGGTCGACAAGTGGATTGCGCAGACATTTAGAATCTCATAATAGTGAAATTCCTGAAGAAAGTCAACAAAACGTCTGAAAACGCTAGGGCTACTTTAGAAAAGCTAGCAAGTCGCTTGGTGAAACACTAGTGGAGATGGCAGCTTTTGTTGGATTATATATTTGTGATGAGTGATATCATACATTACTTTTAAAAAAAACCAACTACAAACAACAGCTATTTCCCGGGATTTCCCGGGAAAGGCGTCTCATTTTCGGGAAAAATATTAAACCCTAGTACAGACTGCCATCGCCGTCTGTACCAACTGCTAAGGTTTTCTTGGAAATGGGACAAAGATGATCAAAGGATCCCAAAGCTTTCCAAAGCATGCAGCCAACTAATGAGATGTTTGTACAAAGGATCGTGCACAAGATGCAAATGTATGAAAGCCATGTTACTGAGAACAGGATAAGGTTTTTTTATTAGCAATACAATAATAGCTCTGGCTTCATAACTGCCAGAAAAAAAACACTTTCAGCCAGGGATGGTACCGTTACCTAAATCACAGCATCTTATAGCAGCAGGTTCTCAGCCATACATTTAGCTCACAGGGGCTCTAAGTAATATTGAAGTATTAAAAAGTGCCCGATGGTGAAGTAAATTAAAAGTGCATGGTGGTTTACTTCACCTGCGCGCTTTGGTCGACTCTGTGACCGCTCTCTATGCACACCAGCTCATCCTCATCCTCCTCGTCCTTGTCCTCCAGGAAGGTCTCATCATCGCTGAGCTCGATCACCTCGCCTGAATGAAAATGTTTTAATACTCATACTTAAATTATTTGTGCTCATTTTATCCTTTCAATGTGATCCTAAACTTGTACCGTGTGAAATAATTTCTGCTAATCAGTTAATTTCTGAAGCAGAAAATCTAATAATAAGAACTGATGGCTCTGATGGAAAAAATGGCACTATGGTTTTACAAGAATTTATCATAGAGCAAGGTTTTCCAACTAAGTATGACTGGGAGCTCCCTGCCCCATCCAAGTATTGCCCCAAAGGATATTGAAATAAAGAATAATGTGTTGAATTATTTAACTGTTCATCGCTGTCAAGGGAACAAACTGGTTTTCAGACCTCTCCCCTTGAGAAGCGTCAGAGTGGAGACAGTGGGTCTTTAAGTCTGTCCCCATTGACTGTTTTTAGAGGTTAGAAGACCAAAAGAGTTGCTGGGTCTCCCTTGCCCTTGATTAAGTGATAGATAGTTAAAAAAGTGAAGAGGACATAGAAGCTATCTGTTAGGTCTATGCGTAGTATAAACCAAGCTTCATTTGTATGGATATTAGTGTGGATAGAGCTAAAATAGATCTAAAACAACAATCTGTTTTTGAAGAGGATAAATGTTGTAACACTGTTAAGATGTTGCAGAATGTCACCTTGAACACACTCACCTGCCAGCTGCCTCCAGCGCTCCTCTTCCGTCGTCTCATCCATGATCGCAAGTTTTCCCTCTCCGATCTCTCTTCCTTCGTCCAGAGGCTGATCGAAGCGTCCATTATGCCCATCTCTACCTTGTACAGAAACCACCTGCAAATCACCCGCCTCCCCAGCTATCGACGCCTCAGCCTCCAATTGCATTTTCTGGCCTTGAATTTCCTCCTCTCTTCTGTCTTCCGCATCTGAAAAATTCTGCTCCGTTTTGAGTCGAAGCGTTGAAGAAAAAGACAAGTCTGCTTTATCATTACGGCTGCTTGCATCGGTGCTTTCGGGACACGCAAATTGCTGATCTGACTGTACTATAATCCGCCCATAGCTAGCGATTGCTTGAAGGTTCTCTGACTTCAAACTCAAGCTTTCTGAGCCGAGGCGCACTGGCCTTGCTTGCTGCGGAGAAAAGGAAGCTGGTGTGGGCGCAGAGGAGGATAGTGAGGAGCAAGACGCAGCCGAGGAGCAGGCAAATTCACTGTTAGAAATAACACCGGAGGAATTCAAATGCGGTGGGCTATTTTTACAGCTTTTAGACGTTTGTAAGTCCGGGAACGTGGTGTGACAAGCTCGCACCAACTCAGTGACGCCTAGTCGCTCAGCCAATTCATACAACACTCCCACGTCTATCAAGTCTATCAAAATCTCTCCTGTGTATATAAAGGTGAGGACTTTGTCAAAGTTGGTAGGAGAGATGAACTCCAAGGAAAAGGCGTTTGCGGTGGTGGACGTGGAGGAGTCTGGAGAGTTGGAGAAGAGGTTATAGAAGTAGGCACTTGCACACGAGAGGATGGCTTTGTGTGCAGCAAATTTGCGGTTTCCGGCGTTTAGTAGAACATCACAGTAGCGGCGGGACAGACGACAGCGATTTAGCTCAGAAAGGAGGCTTGAGGCGTAGCTAGGACCCTGCAGAAGGATCCTCATCACGGTGATGCTATTGGGGAACTGGAGAGACATGAGAATGGGAGAAAAATACTGAGTTATTTAAAAGAACAAATATAAAGCATTATAAGTTATTAAACATGATCCTTGAAAAGTCATGTTTAAGATTGTGAAAATGTTTATGAAGACAATTTTACAGTTATAGTGTAATGAGCCAATTTCCTGGATGCTAGATGAGTTGAACTCCAAAAAGCGAGATTGCAACATTTTGTCAATTGTCACTGTTGTAAACGTTATTTCTGAAATAGCTCTCACTGTGCTCAGAATGCTATTTTCACATTGTTATGCATACTTGATTGTGGGGTCTTTAGGGTATAGAACCTGAGTGGAGTTGGGGTCTTGTGGTTGAGACAGAAATAATTTATAATCTACAATATAACAATACATCCCACGGCTACATGTAAATACACTCCCCTTGGTGGACTTAAATTTTGTTTAAATTTGCCAACAACAGATTATAAAATCAAACAATTAAAACACAGACAATGCCCATAAGACCCATTGGTCCGTAGGGTAGTGGGATGACCAATGGCCGTAACTGTTCATACATTTAATTATACTTCAACCATAATGCTAACCCACATATCTGAACATATCCAGTGTTAAATCCCAGACGCTCCCAGACAAAGCAACAGTTCCACACGACTACGGGAGCTTTTCTGTGCACACTTTCAGCCATCAATTGGAATTATCCAGCAAAATAAATCTTGTCCCGAAACTACTCAATAATAGTATTTTGATGTAGCTGATATTTATACAAAAACACTGTAGATCACTGTTTTTTCAGCTCACACTAAAAAGATTCCGTTTTGGCAATCGAGCGATCTCTCCGACAGAAACACACGTATGCAGAACAGGCGCAGTAGTAAACGCAGGCACTCATGTCCATTCGCTCTGTTTGCAGAAGGATGAGCCCATCCATGGATGAGCCGCAGACCAGCCACAGTCTGGAGGTCCCGATTTTATAATAGATCCATAGGAGGACCCGGGAGCGCCTGCCGCGAATCACCGTCGCCTCTTAATGACGTATGTAAACAAAGAGTAAACCTGACGGCGCCACGCACGGTAAAAGCGAGTCACTACAGACAGAGACAGAGACAGAGACAGAGAGAGAGAGAGAGAGAGAGAGAGAGAGAGAGAGAGAGAGAGAGAGAGAGAGAGAGAGACAGAGAGAGAGAGAGAGAGAAACAAATAATACAGGCAGGTATCTGCCTATAAATTATAATTTCATGTAAGTTATATACTTTCAGCAAACAGTTTTTGGATATTCTTCTTGGCCTTTAAATTTTGTTCAACAATGTTGCTTTCATGAGCTAATTTTCAAGCTCTTACATCCAAACACACTTAAGTAAATCTTGTGCACAAATAAAACACAGTTGATTCACTGGAGTCAATAAAATCACACGCATATCTATAAAAGAGTTTTATTTCATAGTTGGTGCGTCTGCTCGCCGTTCGTGAGACAGCCTTGAAATGAACCGTACATCTCCATGTCAAAAACGATATTATAATGTAAAAAAACATGTGCTTACTCAGTATGACATTTAGGAAATAACAGGAAATTATCAAAAGACAATGAAAATCAAATTGTATAAGCTACAGATCATTTACAAAAAATGAGGCTTGTATAGAACAATACTGACAGCATAGAATAACATACATTTACAATATATTTGAATGCCATACTTTAAACTTGAGAATACATACATGTCAGATTTCAACACGTTATTTTGCTAATCTAAAAAAATGCATTTATAGTTTGAGCTGAATTTGCAAATAAAAAGTTTTATCAGCAAGCTTTAAAGGAGACATATTATCCTATTGGGGGTAATTTGGAATAAAGTAAATAGCATATAGATAATTATTATACATTTGGTTCACTATATGCAGAAACTTTTATGTCGAATAATTAGTTCAGAGAAGTGGGTGGACATACATTGCTCCTTCAATCATGCAAGGAATAATGTAGATGACATTTTGGGGAAGAGAATAAATGGGAACACTTTAACAATATGGTTTAAGTCGTGTTACATAATATGTCTCCTCTAAGACCAAAACAGGCGTAATTTATACAATATCATGTATGAGTCTTGTTCATTTCAATCTAGAATAACAGGTTTGGTCCATTGGAATCAAATAGGTTGCGTTCACATACAGTTGGAAGACGGAAGACAGGTTACATTGTGACTGTAAGAATGCATTGGATTTGTTCACCCAATGAATCCGTCTAATTACTACAAAATCTGGCAACAAATGTTAGTCTGAAAAGATGCCCAGACTTTCTTTTCCTCACACACTTTCTCCAGCTCATTCAGTTGAATCCCAAGGTGTTTCCAAGCCAGCTGAAAGAGCGAGTCACTCCAGTTGTGTCCCTAGTTCCTCCTGCCAGTGGGAAATGCCAAGAACACCTTCCCAGGAAGGGGTCCAGGAGGCATCTCAAACAGGGATAAGCTCCTCACTATCTCTGAGTGCGTGCCCAGCCAATCTGCGGAGAAAACTCATGTGGACTGCTTTTGTCCTCCATCTTTTCCTTTGGGTCCTTTCCCAAAGCTCATGACCATAGATGAGGGTGGGAATGTGGACTGAGCACTGAATTGAGAGCTTTGACAGAAGACGCTACTCTCTCTTCACCAGAACAGTCTGATACAGTGACTTTATCACTGCATACTGCTCCTTTCCTCACTTTAAACAAGAGCTGAGAGACTCCTCCTGATGAAGGGCCTCTGCACATGAAGAGGATGAGTCGTTCTACCCCTATTCACACAGCACCAGCCCCTCTATGATCCTCCTGTAGGTGGTGAGTCCACAGGAAGCGAAAGTAACCTATTTGAATAAAAACATCTTCATATTACTTACACCCTATATAATGTCATCTATTTAGTCCAGCTCATTTGCTAAATTATTGCACTTCTATTCGGAGGAAGTTAAACCGACCTTTTTCAAAAACACTGCAAAAAATGAATGCTTGTTTTGTGAATGGTAGAATAAACACAATTTAGATGCAATTTTACATTCAAATGGAACCAATAACTTGATATACTCCACATTGAAACAGAAAATGTGGCCATCGCAGCAGAGCCTGGTTAGTAAGAAGATGGGAAAACACTAATACCAGGTGCCACAGTAGAACCGGTTTGACTGCTGTGCTAAACTGTGCTAAACTTATGATACATAAATTTAAAACTAATAAGACTCTCATTGTGCACAAGACAACTTCTGTCAGTAAAAGCGCAGAGTAATGCCAGAAGTCATGATCTATGGTCTTTCATGAACCAGCTAAACATACTTTTGTATTCATTTTTGAAATGTTCATGTTAGTGAATTGTCTTAAGCTGGAAATTTAATGGGTTTGAGCATTTTAAAATACAACAGTGAAATGTGGTACGCGATTTAGATGTGGCGCTCATTTTTTAGACAGTGCAGACGGTGGATGGCTGCTTCTGTAACAAATCTGAGGTTTCTATCACCTATTATCGTTATCATAGGAAATTGTATTTACAAATAGTTGTCATTGGTGACAATATTAGGTAATGGCCGCCATATTGACACTTCTAATGTGTTCCCATATTCCCCTGCATTTAGCTTTAACAGTACCACATTTAATGCTTCTATCACCTATTATCAATTCTTGATATGAAATGTACTGTAATCTAAAAACACTAAACCGCTCCACTATTTGACATACAGTTTTTGCAGTGCGGTTACACAATATCAGCTTGCACTTTAGATGAAGGACACAGTTCAAGCAATACGTGGACAATGGATGGATATTGCTTTGCGTTGTTTGATATGTTTGTGAAAGTCTGTGGTGGTTTTCTCGTAGTTCCGGGGTCCTGGGGTCAAACTGGTCGAGTCTAAGAAGGCCTCTTCCCGGAGGGCGTACGTCCCAGACTTGCAGTGCTCGACCTGCACACAAGAAGATAGTTCACTTATGTTTGTCCCCTCTCCGTCACAGAACACTCTATGTTGAGTCCAATCAGTTACGTCAGAGATCTGTTCTGCCATTTTAAACATAATACATATCTCATCTCCAATTATTTGCTGAGCATTTAGTTCCCTTGTCTTTGTCATGTGTTCATACATGACACAATGCTTTTCTGAGGGGCCTCAGAGCCATTGTGGGGGGGCTCCAGAGGGTCTTTACAAATAGCAATAAAGAATGAAATTAAACACACACGTATTTAAGGACCAGCAGAGAGTGCCATTTCTCCTCATAACTCTTCTGCAGAAGCTATTTCCCATGAGCAAAGTGACCTTTCTGAATCCTAAAACATTCACTAGGTTGACAAAGCAAAAGCATATAGAGTGTATTCCAAAACTGTAGCCAATTATATTTAGCATGATTTTCAAGCTGGTCAGACCAGAAATTATTAACAAAATTGCTATCATATACATAAGCACACTTTTGGCTATGGTAACCACGAAACATTTTCTTGTTTGAGCATTTGACTTTCACACAAACTTGATTGCAGCAGCACAATGTAATTTTCACAGCACATTTAAGTCAACGGTGACACAGCCTTGGTCTTTAGGCAATGTGGGGTTAAGTGTCTTGCCTAAGGACACAACGACAGCAGACATCAGTGGGAACAGGTGACATGGGTCGTGGTGGGCTCGAACCCATGACTATTAGGTCCAAAGATCAGTGCTCTACCAACTGAGCTACTGTCGCCCCGTGCATTTTATCACAATGATTAAAATCAGTGAGTGTAAGTAAGTAAGTGAGTAATCTGTATTTATATACCGCCTTTCACAGACCAGAGTCACAAAGCGGTTTACAATTGTTATTTTTTGGGCACTCACTCCACACAGAGATGGGAGCGGGGTCGCCGAACAGGAGGCGCATGCCAGACCTATTATACATATTTTTAGGGGAAACCGGAGTACCCGGAGGAAACCTATGCAGACACGGGGAGAACATGCAAACTCCACTCAGAAAGGACCGGACCGACCGGGATTCGAACCCAGGATCTTCTTGCTGAGAGGCGAGAGTGCTATCCACTCAGCCACCGTGGCCTATATGCATTCCAAAACATACATTTCCCTCTTATCTCAAATGCATCTGCTGGCCTTGTCTCAGCAGTATCTAGGTTAAGTGGTGCAGTGTAAACGTAATAGAAATGCTTCCAGTTCTACTGCAGTTACGCCAAACAAACTGTTTTTCACACGTCAATCACATTAAATGGTGTACATGTGTGTTTTTCACCATAATGAATTTGGAGTGTGATCTGTTTTTCACTAGTGTGTTATTCACTAGTCATTACCTTTATAACACTATCGCTGTGTTTTAGCAACTTTCACAAATAACTCAAATTGGAGTATCGTCATCTACGCTAGAGAAACTCTAGCGTAGATGACGAAACATATGTACTGTATATGTCACCTGCGTGAGAGAACGGGTGTGGCAGTGCAGGGGGGCATGTCGTTGGAGCAGCCGTGTTGCAGCAGAATGTCCACGCAGCCTTTACTCCCAGTTTTAGTGGCCAGCATGAGTGCGCTCTGTCCCAGCTCATCCTTCAGCTTCACGTCCACGCCGTACTGTCAGGAGACACATGCACGCACACACAGAGACATACACGGACCGACAGGCACACACACATATACAAACGCACACACACATACGCACAGTTGCACACACACTTGTAACAATTCAGAGATAATGTCAAGCTGGCACTTATCTATAATTATATCACAATGAGAAACTACATATATATAGATATAGATATGTGTGTGGTTGTGCTTGTGTGTGTGTGTATGTATGTGTGTGCATTTATTTAAGTATACAGTTACTTTTACTAATTAATTGTAAGCATCTTCACGTCGGGCAACATTATATAATGTTAACTTCCTACAGTGGTGCATCACCTGTATAATTCCACAGACAAAGGGATAATAATGTTCCTTCATGGAGGGACATTCTCCATGGAGATAAATCAGGATTTAAGTTTCTAAATTGTGATATTTTCTTGTGCGTGGGCTGCCAGCGCCTAGCTGGAGGCGCTGGCAGCCCTGACGACAAATGGAAGCGGCAAATTTTCAGATGGTTTTGATCTAAACGCTCTTAAAACACATCCAGATTGCAGATTTAAAACACAGAATGGATGAGGGCAAAGGATTTAACTTGTGGTTTAGACTGAATAAGAAATAAATTATGTTATAAGGACAATCTCCAAAGATCATCAAAGCAGTTTCAGTATCATTCTTTGGTGGATTATATTTTGTCTCAATTTTCTACTGATAAATATAGAAAATAAATAATTAGCCTAACTTCAAATTGTGCTTTGCGTTCAATGTTTAGAATTAAATATATGATATGATTGTTTTCTTGATAAAATGTGATCAAAATATGTATAACATGCCTTTGTTAACCTCTTAACCATCAATATTTGTAAGTTACTAAGGGTATCTTATTTTGCAATTATAAGAAATGTAATGTGATAAAATCCTTCAAACAAGTTCCTCATTCATGGTGATTCAGGAGTATCCATCACGAGTGAGGGATGGCTGGAGCTTTAGATTGAATGAAGTGGTGCAGCGTATGTAGTAATGCGGTCCCTGTATCGGATAGTTGGAAAAAGGGAACAGCATCTGCAAACAGAGCTATGTCAAACTGTTGTGGATTCCCCCGTATAAAAATTCCATCACTTGTTTTCACTTGCATGTATTTTTCTCCTTGTCACATTTTTAGATCAGCTTTTTCAGAGCTGGTTTAATTCTCTCTGTTGGGGCAAACCATGGATCTATAATAATAACTGGATAGGGTATTACTAGCTTATAGCTGTCCCACCTATGGGCACAGGGGGCGCCCGTGGTACTGTAGCCTAAACTCACGAGGGCTACCCAGAAAAAAGTCCCATAGAACTCAATGTAAATTAAAACAGCTCGACCTCAGCTGTTAGAGAACCTACAGCTTTCATAAAGATCGGATTTTGCAGGGATTTTAGTGTCCCTTGTCATCCTGAACTTTTTTTCTTCTTAAATCCTTCGGTTTTCTTTAAATCCACACTTTACTGCCACAAACTCTGCTCCCTGCCTTCCTGCTCTGGCTCCACTCTGCTGCTGCTCTGATGATCAGCTCTGATTGGTCAGAGCGCGGACGAGCCACTCTGTGCGCGTGCATGAAAGCCACACATGCACGTTTGGATGGGAGATATCTCCCATCATGCGTTGCGCTAATCCACTGCGCAGAACTGGGAGGACCAGACGATGCCCAAATATAGGCGAGTTCAGCTAATCTTCCGGTCTCCATAAAGTCCCATGCGCTACTGAGCACAAGCCATTCATTTGAATAGGGCGCCATCTTGGATCACCGGGGCTTGGGGCAAACATATTTTGTTTATGAAAAATAAAAGTTAGGTACTCCAGCTTTAATAAATCATAAGGGGTATGAAAAGTGATTAACCATGTTATGACATTGTTCCCCTATGCAAAACGGACCTGGAGTTGTGAAAAGATCTGCCCACGCTAATATCAGGAACGTCTGTCACGTTTAACCCCACCCCGCTTGTCTGAGATCTCCTGTCTCATGCAGCCCTGTAACAGTATGATGGCATTGTACCACTATGATATCACACACAGAAGTTTTCAAGTGAAATTGCATCTTAATAATCACATGGCTGTGTTTGCTACTGTTAATTCGTTTTTCCTCCCTGTGGTGGTAGCACAGGGACAGGGCAGCCCTACAGCATTACTTACAGAAACATATCTGTTTCAGTATATTTTCAACTTAATATTTCACATTCTAAAACATGAATTTCTCACACCTGAATTTCTCCTACGGGGAATTAATAAAGTATCTATCTATCTATGAAAAGTAAAAAGTATCTTTTTTTTGTGTGACAAATAATGCATTATATTTGTTCTTTAAGATTTATCTTAAAGTTTGCAATGGATTTGGATTTTATCACATTACATTTCTTATAATTGCAATTTTAAGTAATTTGAGTTATTAATTTGACTATTAGGCTGTACTTTCGTCATATCATTTTTACCCATTACCCATTCCTTTTTACATTGTCCCCTCAGTTTTAACGAGCATGTGTTTCATTTGATTAATTCCTAGTCCAAACAGGCGTACCCAGACGAGCAGCTGAGTCATGACCACATCTCCAAGTTGGCAGGCAGCGTGGAGAGCACTTCCACAGGGAGGCGCCACACTCATCTGATCCCTGGTGCTGTGGGCCAGAAGCAGCAGCAGGCGGGGCAGGTCTCTGTCTGTGACAGCGGACAGGAGCTCCACAGGCAAAGGGCGGGACAGGTTCAGGGGCAACACAAACAGGCGCTGCTCGTACTTGGCCCTGATCCACGACTCGCGCTCCTCACTGTGCATGCACACACAAACCGAGAGACACACACACACAGAGACATGCACGCGAAGACGCATACACACAGAGAGGGAAGGTCAAGTCAGGTGGGGTTTTGTTTCATTCATGTTCTTATATAAGATCAAAGGCCAAAAGAATTCATATTGTGCAACATGTGTGTACCATACTAACATATTTAACTGACAGCACTAATTATTATTATATTTATTTATCTGTTATTGGCCTTCTTGACTACCAATTACATAAAAAAAAAACCATGAGTTGACCGCTATCATTTAAAAGAACTTAAAAGATGTATGCATATTGCAAGATGGCGGCACGCTCTATCTCAGCAGTCCTGAGTTCGTTCTAAGGTCTATAACGATGACGCTCAAAATGTAATTTTGTTGTTTTTGTGACAATGATAGATCTTGAATCTCATATTTGAAGTGTTTGAAGAATGGTTGAATTTCAGCGTGCACATTACATACTGTGGGAACAGTATAAAGTAGAGTACGTGGCACAGACCGGCTGGCACTCGGTGTAGGCTTCCTTCTTCCCTGGGTGCAGCACTCCCAGATGCTGTTGGCCGTGTGGTTCCCAATAGCAGCTAGGACCTGTGTGAGCTGCCCGGGCCAGTCATCCAGATCCAGCGAGCGCACACGTGACAGGTGGGTCCCCAGGTTACGGTGGATCCCAGAACATTCAATACAGATCAGAGCACCCAGGTTCAGACTGGCCCAGGTCGGATCTGACAAGACAAGAAAAAACAACTTACAGGGACACAAAAATATATGGTATACAGTATAATTATATATATATATATATATATATATATTATATACAGTGCCTTGCGAAAGTATCTTTCAACCTTTCGCCACATTTCAGTCTTCAAACATAAAGATATAACATTTTAATTTTTTGTCATGAATCAACAACAAGTGGGACACAATCGTGAAGTGGAACAAAATTTATTGGATAATTTAAACTTTTTTAACAAAACTGAAAAGTGGGGCGTGCAATATTATTTGGCCCCTTTACTTTCAGTGCAGCAAACTCACTCCAGAAGTTCAGTGAGGATCTTTGAATGATCCAATGTTGTCCTAAATGACTGATGATGATAAATAGAATGCACCTGTGTGTAATCAAGTCTCCGTATAAATGCACCTGCTCTTTGATAGTCTCAGGGTTCTGTTTAAAGCGCAGAGAGAACCATGAAGACAAAGGAACACACCAGGCAGGTCCGAGATACTGTTGTGGAGAAGTTTAAAGCCGGATTTGGATACAAAAAGATTTCCCAAGCTTTAAACATCTCAAGGAGCACTGTGCAAGCAATTATATTGAAATGGAAGGAGTATCGCTCTGGATGAACTGCAGATAACTACAGCTGCGGTGGGAGAGTCTGTCCATAGGACAACAATCAGTCGTGCACTGCACAAATCTGGCCTTTATGTAAGAGTGGCCATTTCTCAAAGATATCCATAAAAAGTCTTGTTTAAAGTTTGCCACAAGCCACATGGGAGACACACCAAACATGTGGAAGAAGGTGCTCTGGTCAGATGAAACCAAAATCAAACTTTTTGGCCACAATGCAAAACGATATGTTTGGCGTAAAAGCAACACAGCTCATCACCCTGAACACACCATCCCCACCTCAGCTGTAGTTATCTGCAGTTCATCCAGAGTGATCATGGGCCTCTAGACTGCATCTCTGATCAGTCTTCTCCTTGTTTGAGATGAAAGTTTGGAGGGACGGCCGGGTTTTGGTAGATTTGCAGTGGTCTGAAACTCCTTCCATTTCAATATAATTGCTTGCACAGTGCTCCTTGAGATGTTTAAAGCTTGGGAAATCTTTTGGTATCCAAATCCGGCTTTAAACTTCTCCACAACAGTATCTCAGACCTGCCTGGTGTGTTCCTTTGTCTTCATGGTTCTCTCTGCGCTTTAAACAGAATCCTGAGACTATCAAAGAGCAGGTGCATTTATACGGAGACTTGATTACACACAGGTGCATTATATTTATCATCATCAGTCATTTAGGACAACATTGGATCATTCAAAGATCCTCACTGAACTTCTGGAGTGAGTTTGCTGCACTGAAAGTAAAGGGGCCGAATAATATTGCACGCCCCACTTTTCAGTTTTTTATTTGTTAAAAAAGTTGAAATTATCCAACAAATTTCATTCCACTTCATGATTGTGTCCCACTTGTTGTTGATTCATGACAAAAAATTAAAATGTTATATCTTTATGTTTGAAGACTGAAATGTGGCGAAATGTTGAAAGGTGAATACTTTCGCAAGGCACTGTATATATATATATATATATATATATATATATATCAAGTGTATGAAATTCTATCCACCTCAAACTTCCTATGCTACTGTTGTAGTAGGCCCTGCTTAAGAAATAAAGAAATTAACAATTATCACAAATTATCCCTTTAAGGTGTATATCATAGTAAACATTGAATATTTATTTTCCCAATAAACGTTTAGTAGTTATAGAAGTGCACCAACATTTGTGCAGGCAGCTTGGCTTTCCTGAGCTGCCGCAGGAAGTACATCCTCTGCTGGGCCTTTTTGATGAGGGAGCTGATGGTCGGCTCCCACTTGAGGTCCTGGGTGATGGTGGTGCCCAGGAAACAAAAGGACTCCACAGAGGTGATGGGGGAGTCCATCAGGGAGGGTGGGGGCTGTGCTCTTCCAGAAGTTCTTAATCATCTCCACTGTCTTCTGGGCATTCAGCTCCAGGTTGTTACCACTGTACCAACCGCTATGCATCTGTGATTGTTCACAGTAGGTCATGGCACTGGCTGCGGTGTGCATCACACCACTACACGTTACACCAGTATCACAGACAGACGCGAATGAGACAAGGCACAACGCGGGTACGTTGGTGGACTACCACAATCCTATATTTGTGAGATCAGTGAATACCACTGGGGCCATATGCTTGTTGTTTCGAAATTTCTGCCCAAGGAAGAGCGACACAAGCTCTGGACTTTTAGAAAGAAAACAGTAGCACAGGGCTAGGATTTGGTGCTGAGGAAGACAGCCAATCACTGCAGAGAGAGGAACGGGTCACGTGCTGCTGCTGCTGCTGCTCTGGAGCATAGACTGAAAATATTAACGGACGTAGTCACACCTATTGAAACTAATGTGACATCAGTTTTGGCTTCTATGGACAGCTTCAAAATGGCTGCAGGGGCTGGAAAATGTGAAAAAAATGCATCGGCGCATCCGTCAGCCGGCACAAGCCCCATTCATTTGACGAGTGCCTTCAAAATTTCACAGCGGCAGCATTGACACATATCTGGAACGTAGCGTTGGGTCAAGAGCCGACTTTTGGGCCATCCTCTAAACCCGTTTTCGAGAGGTAAGAGGATGCATTATTATTTGGATTGACCGCATCACACAGAGGATTCATGGCTTAAGCCTTTTGAGCTTCTCTCCTTACTTTTGGGTCCTTACCCTTCGTCTTTCATCCCTTAGTATCTCTCTGAAGGGGCTCCTTTTATTCAGGTCCAGAACCCTGCGTTGGCTGTCCTTCAGTTACTTACCTGTGTTAGCCTTACATGTAATTATTTTCCCTTCGAGTGATGTTTTTGGTGACAAAATGGAGTAAAAAAACTATTTACTGGAGTATTTATCCCAGTAACCTACAGTGGCGCAGCCGCCACACTAGCACCAGAGAAAGAATAGAAGTTGTTTTGTTTTGCTACAGACAACATTGATTGTGAATGTAGAGAACATAATTTCATAATTTCACATCATTTTATGTTTTGTCTCAACATAATTGAGACCAATTGGGAAATCCTGTAAACTGCTCTCAGAATAACATCACATGGATTTTATGGAAGAGTTTGAAAACAAAGCTTTTACAGTAGACAGAAGCGTCTATGCAAGAAGTTTCTACTATTAGTAAGATTAGGCTAAATATGATCTAATTTATTTAACCACACTCACTGGGTGCCTCACAGTCCACACACAGGCCATTCCCTTTGGCATTCCTGATGGCCTGCAGAGCCAGGGCTTCACTCTGACTGCTGCGACGAGCCTGCACACAGTACAGAGATAGAACACTCAAAGACAACAGTCTGAGGAGGAGTAGCTAAGTGTGCGTCACAGTCTCACACTTTTCTATTTACTCTCTATTTATTTAGTTAAGCCCCCACGGGAGAGCTACTATTTCAGGACAAACTGGCAGTGAGCCACTCCTTTCGGTAGGTAAAAGAAAGACGTCATATTGAAAAAAACGTTTTCTGGTTTTAAAATCAAATATACCAATTGGATGAGCAGCTTTAGTCTTAATTACATGTCCCATTGGAAAATCTTGCTTCATGAAATTCAGCCAATTTGACCTTTTTTCAGTCTCTTTCTGTTATAATACATAGGGCACAACAAAAATCAACAGTTGTTGCATGTAAATCATGAAATCTTAAATATATTTGTCAATTCTAAAACTTTTGGAGAGTTACTTGGAAAGGCTCCTTAGCTATAAGAGGATCTTTGTTTACATCCGCGTGCGCATGCGCCACCGGCGGGATGGCAAGAAGACAGAGCGCCACATACTAAAGCATGGATGTGAGGAGTACTTATTAAAGACTCAGTCGGTGAAATACCCTATATTTAAGCACTTTAACACAAGAAGATCAGAGGAGATATAAAGACATGCTAAACATAAGTATATGAGGTCGAACTGAACAAAAGAAAAGCCCATATGACGACAAACATTGGTCAGACTCTGTTTCAACAGATTGATGCCTCTGTCTCTCTTGCTGGGAGACATTTATTCTTACTTCATAGTAAACCCGGGACCCTTTACTCAAGAAGGTCGCGTTTTTCACCGCGGTAAAGTGGCCCGGCTTTTTGGCGTCACGGCTAAGTGGTCCGCACATTAAAAGCGGGTTGCCCCTTTATGCTGTTAGTTACGGCAAATGAAGGTGCGGGGATGAGCAACCAAAATGCAATGTTTAAAATTCATCATCACAGTAAACAAGTGTAAATGGGCTGTACAACTGACCACACAACAAGAATGAACCATTTGATTTAGTAAAACCTCTATCCAAACATCTAAAAGTAGCTAACTCTTTAGCATCCAGGTGGCTTTCTATGCTGTTTTGCCACACGGTGCGGACAAAACTATAAATAACGACATCACTCAAAGATCCTCCTATAGGTTGGAGACCCCTGATTTAGATAATGAGCCGTATGAGACAACAGAATTGAAACAAGGGAATGAGTTTAAAAGAGTCATGTTTGTTTTTTATGAAATAATTATCCAATATTTTGTTATAACAAACCAGACCACAAAATGCATCGTTTGCATTGTGGTATACAGTAGGAAAAAAAAATACTGTTTGGGCTGAGAGCTAATTGACTTTCTATTTCAATTCTGTCTGAAAGGCGGCACGATGGCTGAGTGGATAGCACTCTCGCCTCTCAGCAAGAAGGTCCTGGGTTCGAATCCCGGTTGGACCAGGGTCTTTCTGAGTGGAGTTTGCATGTTCTCCACGTGTCTGCGTAGGTTTCCTCCGGGTGCTCCGGTTTCCCCTACCACTAAAAATATGTACAATAGGTCTGGCATGTGCCTCCTGTACTGGCACCCCCACTCCCAAAAATAACAATTGTAAACCGCTTTGAGACTCCGATGTTCAGTGAAAAGGCGGTATATAAATAAAGATTACTTGATTACTACTACTACTACTTGAAAAAGCTGATATAGGCCAAAAGTACATGCATATGAAAACAAATGATAGAAGAGTTTTAGAGTTTTAGAGTGGATGGAAAGGTATGCACCTCAACCCTTTAAGACTGCACATTTTTTTTATTTAGGCTTACATTCTAACAAACTCTTAAAATAATTGCATTATACTTTTTATGTAAGAAAACACATATTGTGTTATTTACAGTTGTATTTGTGAATAATTGATTCATTATTCCATTATAAACAATCTTTAGCAAAATTCTACTGGCATTTATTGTATTATTATTTATGGTGCAGGGCCACTTTTTTCCCTTGTCTTGAATTGTACTTATTCAACATCAAAGTCCAAATAGCCTAAATTCAACATACACATGTTGCTACACTTTCAAAATGTATCTAATGACACCAGGGACACAGATTTTTCCCACGCTCAGACACTTGTTATTGATTTAAGTGTTGTTGTTCTGTAAAACCTTGTTGCGGCCACTCTCGCACGACTGCAGGCTGGCAAGAATCTGACTCTCGATGGCAGTGACCCACGAGTCCCTCTCCTCCTGACTCTGGGCCTCAAAGTGCCACGTCTGCCCGGTGAAGGACACTACGATGAAGTCAGAGTTCTCCTCATCTGAAAACACCAACAACATCACTCAGAGAGAAATGTGTCCAGAGCTAGGCCATAAAGAGGAAACAGAGGAGCACCATAATGCAAAAAGAAGTCACAACATTTGATTTCTGCTGAGGAAGAACAAAGAAAATAAGATCGTAACTGGAGAAAATGGGGATAATCTGAGCAATGGGTTCTTGAATGCAGTTAATAAACGTGCAGTTACCTGTCTTATTTATGTTTCGCAAACTACCAAAGCTCTTTAGTTTCCACATTTTGCGTTTAGCTGCAGAGTGAGAAAGGAGAGAGGAAGAACGGGCAAAGAGAACAAGAAAAAGGTTAGCTCAAAGACTGTGAAAGAATGAGAAGGTTCATTGTATTAGGAAATTCAGAATATCAGCAAGTTTTGATTAGGTTTAATTCTGGTCTAGTGCTCCTGCTTCAGGTCTGCTTCAGTCCTGGTCCAGTCCTGCAACAGACCTCCTTCAATCCTGGTCTCTGCCCAGTCCTGATCCCGTCTTGTTTTAGTCACTGCTTCAGTCCTGCTTTGGTTGTGCGTTAGTCCTGCCTCATTCCCAGTCCAGTCCTAGTTCAGTCCTGGTTTATTCCTGGTCCAGTACCTTCCGCCTGTCCCACTGCGCTGTCTGCTTTCTGGGTCATACTCTTCTTCCGTCGGTTCTTCTTGCGGTCACTCATTGGAGACGACTGACTGGACTCTTTCCCTGTGATTGGGATTGCGCTGCCTTCAAGACCATCTGCAAACATCACAATCAACAACCGATCCATGAAAACATCCAAAAGCTTTTTAATACAAACACATAAAGAATTTAAAGCTTTGAACAAAAGTACAATCTGAAACAATAATGGTTCGTTCTGTAAAACCTTGTTGCTAATGAAATCTCTGACCTCCTGAAAATGTAGCCACAGTGGAGCCTTCACAAACTCTTGCCTGATGAGGGCCATGGGGACTGCTCCAGGGGCATTCAATTAAAAATATTCAAATAGAAGGAATCAAATTTGGTTATGGTGAGAAAAATGGTGAGGTCTCAATCATCATATGCTATGTTGTCTTAACAACATAGTGTCCATGCTTAATGGTTCCTCTTTGCCGTGTTCAATTTAAAAATTCTCACAGCAGCAGCTCGTCCCCTGGTTTAAACGTAAGAGGATTGGTCCAGACAGAGCATACTAGGGGTGTGAAAATCAAAATGTGAGAGGATCGACGATGACCTCCCCCCTTGTTTGCATACATCAGGGAGGTGTGCAAAGAGGTAATCGTAAATGACAACGCAGCACATTGTAGCCAACACCACTAGTTGGTGTAGCGTCTGCTATTATAAGTTCTACATACGGCACGGGCGGCACGGTGGCTGAGTGGATAGCACTCTCGCCTCTCAGCAAGAAGGTCCTGGGTTCGAATCCCGGTTGGACCAGGGCCTTTCTGAGTGGAGTTTGCATGTTCTCCCCGTGTCTGCGTAGGTTTCCTCCGGGTGCTCCGGTTTCCCCTACCACTAAAATATGTACAATAGGTCTGGCATGTGCCTCCTATACTGGCACCCCCACCCAACAATTGTAAACCGCTTTGAGACTCCGATGTGCAGTGAAAAGGCGGTATATAAAAAAAGCTTACTTACTACTACTACTACATACAGTGCCTTGCGAAAGTATTTGGCCCCCTTGAACCTTTCAACATTTCGCCACATTTCAGGCTTCAAACATAAACTTATAAAAATATTTTTTTTTGTCAAGAATCAACAACAAGTGGGACACAATCGAGAAGTGGAACAAAATGTATTGGATAATTTAAACTTTTTTAACAAATAAAAAACTGAAAAGTGGGGCGTGCAATATTATTCGGCCCCCTTGCGCTAATACTTTGTAGCAATGGTGTAGGTTTGGTTCCAATCTTGGTGGGGACATTCACTACGACCTGAGTCTACACCCATTGACACGGGGTCCAGAGTTTCTCCCCCAGAATTTGTTGTGTAATCACACACTATATTTGCAATAGTGTGTTGCCTTCTATACTAAACTCAGCTGTAGACTGAATGAGAAGCAGTTATGTATGTTAACAGAAGATTAATCATCACAATTCATAATTTGCTATTACTTGTGCTTTCTCTTACTTACTTTCCAACTGTTAAAAAAAGCTCCTGATATGTTTTATCTTATTTGTGGAGGTGGCATTTTTTCTAAATTATATAAGAAGGTATAGACAATCAAAAACAGACATTCATATACATGAACTGCAGAATCATTTATATAACTTGGCCAATGTCAAAAGTTACATAGTATTTCTCAATACAATGAGTTAACAAGAGTTTGGCAATAAGTAACAGTGTGGATTTTTCTATATTTTCTTTTTTTTATTCCACTCTCAACCCAAAAAGGCAAGTAATGACTCACCGGGCTCTCAAGTATGCAAAATAAAAACTTAAATGACCTGTTGTGGTGTATTTTGCGCACAACCAGCATGCATCGTTAACGCAATGGAAAATTTAGGTATCCGAGCTTTAATTTCGGGAGCGCTGGTTGCGCTTTGGGAAGAGTCAGGGGAGAGACATGTCAGAGACACAGGGGAGAAACGGGGAAGATACGAGGGAGACCCGCACTTGCAACATGGTTCTGTCTGCATATGGTCCGAGCTCGGTACCATGTTAGAGCTGTGCTTTCACTGAGCGCCGCGGCTGTCATTACAAAGCGGCAGCAGCTGCACCAGGACGTGCACATTCGAGTGCATCGCTTGAATGTGCTTAGAGCAAATAACAGCAAGTGCCCGCTGTCACACATTTCACAGAAATTACATTATCAGCAGATAAAGGTTGTAAATCGTGGATCCGTGGAATATTTTCATCCCTAGTTTATCCTGATTCACACAACACACCCACTTATACATTTTGTATAGTAAGAGCACAATAAGTATTTTTTCAGCCTTTCAACCAACCTGTTTCTTTATTGGAGCCAGTTCTGTTCTGTCTCTGTGCCGTGTGAGCTCCTCGGAACATTAAACAGTGCGCTGACAGATTAGAAATAACGTAAGTACTTTGAATGGTAATAGATCTACAGTACTTTCCTCTGATTACTCGCGTGCTACAACGCTCAGGGAACGAAAAAAAACACTTGCTTCACGCTGGCTAACTTTTAAAAATTAAACAGTTGCTCAGTGCTTCAGTTTGGCGCTGAAGAAGACAGCCAATCACTGCAGAGAACGGAACGGGTCACGTGCTGCTGCTGCTGCTGTTGCTCTGGAGGCGAGGAGGAGGCGCGACGTGTGCACAAACGGAAGACATGTGTCCCGGACCGTCCGGGTCACGGGACATCATGTCATTTTGGTGGGGACTTTTTAGTCCTCACCAAATATTGGTGGGGACATGTCCCCATGGTCCCCACGCAAACCTACGCCCTTGCTTTGTAGCACCACCTTTTGCTGAAATTACAGCTGCAAGTCGCTTGGGGTATGTCTATCAGTTTTGCACATCGAGAGACTGGAATTCTTGCCCATTCCTCCTTGCAAAACAGCTGGAGCTCGGTGAGGTTGGATGGAGAGCGTTTGTGACCAGCAGTCTTCAGCTCTTTCCACAGATTCTTGATTGGATTCAGGTCTGGACTTTGACGTGGCCATTCTAACACCTGGATACGTCTATTTGTGAACCATTCCATTGTAGATTTGGCTTTATGTTTTGGATCATTGTCCTGTTGGAAGATAAATCTCCGTCCCAGTCTCAGGTCTTTTGCAGACTCCAACAGGTTTTCTTCCAGAATGGTCCTATATTTGGCTCCATCCATCTTCCCATCAATTTTAGCCATCTTCCCTGTCCCTGCTGAAGAAAACCAGGCCCAAACCATGATGTTGCCACCACCATGTTTGACAGTGGGGATGGTGTGTTTAGGGTGATGAGCTGTGTTGCTTTTACGCCAAACATATCGTTTTGCATTGTGGCCAAAAAGTTAGATTTTGGTTTCATCTGACCAGAGCACCTTCTTCCACATGTTTGGTGTGTCTCCCAGGTGGCTTGTGGCAAACTTTTTATCTTTGAGAAATGGCACTCTTCCATAAAGGCCAGATTTGTGCAGTGCACGACTGATTGTTGTCCTATGGACAGACTCTCCCACCTCAGCTGTAGTTATCTGCAGTTCATCCAGAGTGATCATAGGCCTCTTGGCTGCATCTCTGATCAGTCTTCTCCTTGTTTGAGATGAAAGTTTGGAGGGACGGCCGGGTCTTGGTAGGTTTGCAGTGGTCTGATACTCCTTCCATTTCAATATAATTGCTTGCACAGTGCTCCTTGAGATGTTTAAAGCTTGGGAAATCTTTTTGTATCCAAATCCGGCTTTAAACTTCTCCACAACAGTATCTCGGACCTGCCTGGTGTGTTCCTTTGTCTCCATGGTTCTCTCTACGCTTTAAACAGAACCCTGAGACTATCAAAGAGCAGGTGCATTTATACGGAGACTTGATTACACACAGGTGCATTCTATTTATCATCATCAGTCATTTAGGACAACATTGGATAATTCAAAGATCCTCACTGAACTTCTGGAGTGAGTTTGCTGCACTGAAAGTAAAGGGGCCGAATAATATTGCACGCCCCAATTTCGTTCCACTTCACGATTGTGTCCCACTTGTTGCTGATTCATGAGAAAAAATTAAAATGTTATATCTTTATGTTTGAAGCCTGAAATGTGGCAAAATGTTGAAAGGTTCAAGGGGGCCAAATACTTTCGCAAGGCACTGTATATGTTTGTGTCTTCATACGTATAAAATTGTTTTTCAGACATTTGGGCCAAATTGCTGAGACTGCTGACTCTACTGACCCTTCTCTGGGGTCAATAGGGCTGTTGACATCTGGAAGGACAATAGAGACATGTAGTGATACCCTCGGGGAAGACAGACTCAGAGATGCAGAGTTTCACCAGGACTAGTTTACAGGCTTGTTGAATGACACATGTGTTTACGCTGACATCCGGTGACTTAACCCATCCATAAGGCCCCTCTCCTACAATAAGAAAGCAGCGTTTGCTTCATTCTGCGATGAGCAAGCAAACTGCTTTGAAACACAGCGTTGGCACATGTATCAAAACAAGCCGGTCATTTCATTGGCTCAGAGCGGTAAGAGGCATTCACACCAGATAATGACAGTCTATCTATGGTTTTGACAGCTTTTTGTGGATAACTTCATTATTGCAGATAATAAGCATAAGATCTGCAGCCTTATTTGGTGGTGGAAAACGCTGGATTTAAATATTTCATTAGCTTACTTGGGTCACGCTACAGTAAGCTACAGTGTGCTGTGAGAAAAAGAAAAATCGAGAATTGAATTCAGTTTCAGTTCAGTTCAGTTTATTTATTTGCCATTTGCAGTAAAAAAACCACATTGGAATACATTAGTAAAAAGTCTCCAGTGTGCACAGACAAATACAGACATAAAACAACATTAAAAGACAGAAATAAAACAGTAAACAAATGTCACTGTGAAATCGATCGGCTAAAACAGTTTCAAAACGAGTGCAAATCATTAAAGTGCTCTGTTCACACTGATAACAGCTTGTTGATAAAAACTGTTAGCGTAACGAGATGTCCTGCATCTCAGAGAGCGATATCTTCTGCCAGAGGGAAGAAGCTGGAACATGGATTTCCCAGGGTGGCCAGAAGAGTCATTGACAATCCTAAGAGCTTTGTTTAAAAGTCTGGATTTATAAAGAACCTCCAGAACAGGAAGCTCACAGCCCACGGTCCTCTTTGCAGAGCGGAGCA